ATCACTTGGTCTATGTCTAGCCTATGTGGAACTTACTTCACCACCACTCACTCACACTTGATTATTTCCAACACATTCACGCCCAAAGGGGGCGTCAAGACCGCATGTGTCACGCCCAAAGTGGGCGTCATATGGTGTCACATGTGACACCCCATTTAGGCGTCACCCATTAGGGTGTCACGTATGTGACGCCCACTTTGGATGTGACTTTGTGCAATATATGTGTAATGTTTTAGAAAAGTGTAATAAATACGTAATTTTTTTATTAAAAAGCATTAAATTAATTTTTTAGCCCGCGACCAATTGCTCTAACTCTGAGGGAAACTAATTACTATATATTCGTAAATAGGTTTTAAATTGTTATATTTTTATAATTATTTATTTAAAATATAATATATATATTTTTACCGTTAGTAGAATACTAAATTTTAGGACAGCCTCGTGTGGGTTCTCCACCGCATGATTCACCTTCAACATTGTTCTTGTGGGTTTTTCTACTCCAAATTCCTAGCCCATGGACTCCATTTTTGATTCGGGTTCAATTAACTTTGCTATTAGTCTCATTTTCCTTTGCGTCGATCCCAATAACTGTTATTTAAACCACCATAAAATTAATGATAATATTATTTGTGCACTATAGTTATTATATATTTTTATTATTTCTAATAATATTAATATTAATTTTAATCAACTTATTATCTTAATTAAAGTATAAACTGTTATATGAATAAAAGTTGATGAATGATGTAATGTATAATATAACAAGGCTACTTATTGCCCATTTGAACGGGTTCCAAATAAAGTACTTTTTATAACTTACTTTTTTTCGAAAGTGTTTTTTTTAATAAAAAAATATTTTTTTTTAAAAAAAAAGTCCATCCAAATAGATTCTTCGTCCTTTTACTTTTAACATAAATAATGCTCAATTACTATGTAAATATTAAATTATTATCCGCTTAATAAAATAAAATAAAATATTCTCATCAATATATGTGTGTGGAATTTGTGTAAAAAAAATGTTTCAACGTCAACCATTATTGAAAAAAAATATATTTATAACATTTTGTTTGAAATTCTAATAATTGTATCCAAAAAAATTCTAATAATAAACGGAATGTAATAAAAATGAAATAAAATGAGAAGAAATGGAACAAAATTATTATTCAATTTTTTTTTTGTCTTAAGCAACCTATATTATATTATCATTTTTAATGTGTTGTCATAGAAGGAAAAGTTAATTTTGTAGTTTTGGAACTTTGCATTTTTAATGGGTCTTATTATATATTTATAAATTTTTTTATAAATTACGCTAATGATAATACATTTTAGCACATAATATACTATTTCTTGCGTAATTTGTAAAATGTATCCGTACTGTCCATTTACCCTACAAGGAAAGCTAGTTTCCGAATCAAAAATTGCCATCTTCAGTCAAACACTCCATGCTAGAACATGATGTCATCCTACCTTTTCTGCTCTCTGCCGACAATCTTGAATTCCAATACTCCCATTGTACAGTTTTTTTTTAATAAATATATAAATTTACAAATTATATTCAATAAGTGTTGTCAAAGACTATTAGGGCTTTATACAAAAAAAAAAAAAAAACTATTAAGGCTATGATTGATTTCTGTTTTCAACAACAGCTTTTAAATTTTAAAATTAATAAAACAAAAAATCTTGTTTGAAAAGACTGTTTTCATTTATTTGTTTTAAAAATCGTATCTGATTTTTTGTTTTAGAAATTGAAAAAGCAAAACAACTTCTATGTTTTCCAAAGTTGTTTTCTGGTTTCATTGTTTTGTGCACTGACATTTCTGTAAATAAAGAAATTTATTAATGACATTTTTATAATTAAATTGATTTTTTTATTTTAAATTACTTTGAGGTGGCAATCTTGTAAATACGAGGATTCATTAATAGAATTTTTGTAAATAATTACATCTTTTTTATAACTCTAAAACTAACTATATTTAAACAAGTTTTATTATTTTTTTACCCACAAAATCAGTTTTCAAATTTCGTTCTCAAAACAGTTTTTAAAAACAAAAAAACAAAAACACATTCAAACACACCCAAATGTCCTTATGTCATGAACTGAATAATTGTCTTTATATATACAAAAATAATAATAATTGTCTTTTATAATTCAACAATCTCGCTGAATTTATAATTAAGCCATTTCAGAAAAAAATAAAATTAGGTTGAATCAGTCGAACAGTTGAATCAATAATAATAATAATAATTGTTATTATTATTAAACAATTAATTTGTCATGTTTTATAAATAATTTTATATATTTTGCCTTATTTTGGAGGGTTTAATATTTTTTATATTATAAGAGATAAATTTATCTCTCATACACATATAAAAATATGTGAGTGAGCCCATATAAAAAGAAGAAAGAAAAAGAAAAAAAAATGGGACTCACACTTTTTTTATATATGTTTATTTTCTTCAACATAAAAAATATTAAACTCTATTTTGGATGAGTTAATTTTATGATATCATCAAGTTTAACTAGTTAATGTAATTAAGTAGCTTAACAAGTTATACACCTCAACGGAAAATTTCACGTGCATGACTTCAAAACAGGTAATATTTTTTAGGAGATCATTTTCCAATCTCAGCTGGACTTTATTTCGGAAAAGAAAATATTTTTTGTTTGAAAACAAAACAAAAATAAACAATGAAGACGAATTGGGGGTCAAGTGCCTACTTCCAAGTAGGTATACTGGTTTCTGTCTCTTCCTACAGTCCCATGCCAGAAGACAACACAGCTAATTAGGCAAAAAAAATTAATTAATTGTATTTTAAATAAAAAATTACAAACTTATTGATGTTTTGAAATTATTTATGCGTGTATTATAATGTGCCACGTTCGAATTGAGTATAATCAGTTATGCCTAATTTAGACGTCACCCATGAGAGAATCACGCCTAAGTTAGGCGTTATTCATATGGTGTTGACACGTGTCAAAAAAAATAATAACAAATTAAAGTAAAATTTCTAAATCCCATAACTTTTGACTTGTGTATTTAAATCAGGTAATTTTTTTTTTTAATTTCACATAACTTTTGATATCTATGCAATGACACCTCATTTGGCATATTTTATCTCTCACAAACACAATTCAAATTTGCAACAATACGTAATTATTTTTAAAATTATAATAAATTCATAGTTTTTTATTTAAAATACAATATATTAGTTTTTTGCCCCAGCTAATTAACTAAAAATGAAACTTGCCTAACCGGTTTCTATTTGCTCTCTTCACGTTGTAATGGATCATTTTACAAAAAGAAGTATGTTTATTACGGAATTATTCTAATCACCAAAAAAAAATATTTAAACTATTATAGTAAACGCGTTGACTGTGTGGGATAGCAATTAATTACATCGTAATACGAACATCTATTGTTTCATCCCTCGATGGTGTGAGTAATTGCATTTTGGCAACAGGGACCTACTTTGCAATTTAACGAAACAATTACCTGTTGACCAAGGGGTTCCACGTGATTAATTTACTCACACCATTGATCTTATTTTATTCAAAATCAACGGCTCCTGTTCAAGGTACATGATGCACCCTAACATGTCAAGTGCATCTAAGACGTTGCCTATCGAACAACATTGTGAATCTAGGTCAATAATTTGGAGGGGGAAAAAGGGCAGAAAGAAAGAAATTAAATCATGTTTCCAAATAGATGTAGTAATGCTTGTTCGAATGATCGCATAATAGCTGGTTTCTAAAATCTCATTTAACCCACTGCTTTAGTTATATTCTCTTATCATGTCACGAATTAAGCAATGTGAGACAATTGTTTCGGAAATCGTTCTCTTATATGGTTGGAAAAGAAAATCTCTCTCGTAAAAAACAATAATTATGTACTGTTTTTTTTTTTCCTCCTCAAATATTATTGGTTGATGTGGCGGAGAACGAAAAAATAATTTTATCATTATAATTAATAGATTGTTGGAGATAATTTTTTCAAAAAATGAAACCCTATTTATTTATTTTACTTTTCTGCGTTGCCTTTTTTATTTGTGTTATACATCCCAGCTCAATGCGATAATATATATCTGATATTTGGGGTTTTAAAATCAAATTTGCTTTTGTTGACCACAAGCATTTATAAAGAACTCAGTTTCATTAACTTCCAGAAATCGAGCAAACATTTGGTGTTACCGATGCACCATGAATCGGTCCCAAAAAAACAAAAAAATTAAAATAGGAGTGGAATAAAAATGAAAATATGAATTTAAATGAGAAGAAAATTTACTTTATTTGAAAAAAAATGTACCCAAGTGAGTACATCTTATTTATAGAAGAAAATTCCCCAGAAATCAGCTTGATAAATGTCATCTCGAAGCCCACAAAAATATCTTCTTTTCGAACTTGTAATTTTTTGTATTAATTGTAGAAAGTTTCTTCTGTGTTTTGACTGCTTAGAATTGCTCGCATATCTAAGGCACTTTTGTTGCATAGGTAATTAAAAGTATCTCATTCTTTATTTTTATGTAAGGCCTAGGACGGCTTCTAGCAAGGCATTTAAAAGTCCACACGAAAACCGAAGTATAAAAAAATAAACTGGGATGAATAACATTTGTTAAAATTGAATCTCTCTCGCCTTCATGTCCTCAATTCTTACCATTTGAATAGATATCTCATTAATTTGATTTAAGAGTGGAAGCCATGGTAAGTTGTGCGGTGTATTAATTTTAAATATCTAATGACAACGAACGATGATGATCATTATTATTAATTTAGTTTAGGTTTGATACAAAATGAAGCAAACTACGTTATATATATCCAACTTCGAAAATTGGAGGTGAGAACAGAAAGAAAAGGAATTAATCAACTAAAGGTAATCAAGTTAAAGATATGATGAAGAAGCACTTCGTTACTTTAAGAATCAATCTGGCACATTCAATCTTTCCATCTAACAACGCTTATTATTAACAAGATAACCATATAGAAAAGCAGCTTCTATATTATATTACACAAAATCTCCAAGGAGCACCTTCTTGAACATGGATGAATAGCACCCTCGTGACCTGGCATTGCCAAAGCACAAACTCGAATTACCGGGCACATCATACAGATTTTCATCATCTTCTTCAACTTTCCTCGAGTGTACCATGGGAGAAGATGGCACCGAATATGATGTTGGCCTCATCGATGAGGATGATGACAAAGATGATGACGAAGAAGAAGAAGAATTGGAAAAAGATGGAGACTCACGTGGTGGAGGAATTACACAACTTTTCCTTGTAGTGCGCTTGGGGAATATAGTTTGCAAAAAACTAGCTTTTGGTGAATTCTTCTTGTCCTTGATTGTGGGGTTTTCGGTAGCATTTTTGAAGTAAGATGGAGGTGGGGTAAGAGGAGGCAGAGAATTTTCTCTGAGTCTAACCTTAGGAGTACCAGGTTGAGATTCCCACACGAAGGGAACTGATGCAGATTGACCTACATCATAAGCTTCGTTTGAGAAATTTGATAATTGTCTTGTTAGATGATCCTCAAGGCACGTTATCTTCTTGTTTTTTTGCCTTTTAACAACTATTGGAGAAGGTCTTTGGAGAAGGTTTGAAGGCTTTGACATCCTTAATCGCTATGGCAGATTGAAAGTAAGTGTGTATTTATGTTATGTATGTAGATATATTTAGAAGATGGGAAAGTGTACATGAGACATTTTCAAAGGGTTTTGGTGTAAAGAAGGAGTAGTTTTAAGACTTTTAAGCTCAACATGGGAATCTCTAACATGAGATTGTGAACTGGTAGTGGTTGCCTTGGGTTTATTTAAGTGGTTTCCACATTCTAGTGGGGTTTGTGATTGTTGAATAAGAAAAAAGTTAAGTCAACTATATACACTTGTGGCTGATTAGTTGACGGTGATTAATTCACAAAAAGAAAATAATTAATAACTCTTAATGATTAATTTTCTTATAGATTTATAGTGCCTCTAGAATCATATCAGATTTTTTTGTGAAATGTCAGATTTTATTTGTTTATTATATCGGACAACAATGTAAGGAATGAACAAAGGATGAAGTGGAATACAAGACTCGAATAAAAACTCTAGCAATTTTTTTTCTTAATCTTATTTACTTAAATTTTGTGCCATGTATGTATCAAAACAAAAAATAAAATAAAATTGTGCCATGGCCTCAAAACTCTGGTTGATTAACCTTCTCTCTCTACAAAAAGTCGTATGAGAAACCCAGATAGAGTGAAAACATAAATTGCATTCGCAATAGACAATTGTTAACATGTTATATGAAGCAATTATGATTGGCCTAATTAATAGTGAGGAACATGGATAATTTATATTAAATTATGTGTTCAATTTCTACTATTGTATCCAAAAAAAATTATTTTTTATACTGCCTTCTTCTACTCTCTTTTTTTTGGTAAACAAATTAGTGTCAAGATGCTCTAGATCATAACCTCCTTCTACTTTATTACTCAGTCAAATTACTTGTTTCATTTCCTTATCATGTATCTTTTTCAATAAAACGTTATCAATAAAAAATATATATTTCTTTTAATTGGCTTAACTTTTTTTCAATTTTTAATTGTTAGGTGACAATAATATGATAAGGAATAATGGTTTTGAGTTCTTCTTATAAACTACGCATATATAAAATATGGACATGTTATAAGAACTACGATATCAATTCTGAATAGAAACTAGCTTAATTATAACACGAAAAAAAAAAATTGGTATACATTTGTAAAGTGTCAATTCAACAATTAGGTTTAAAGTATGTAAAATTGTACAAATCCATTATTTTATTTATCTTATGTTAATTTTAATTTACTTTTTTAAATTTTATTAGAAATTTGAACTTGTGATCACAATAAACTCTAATATCATATAATGAAAACAATTGAACTCTAATATCCGAAAAAAAAAAAACAATTGAACTCAACAACTTAAACTAGAAACATTAATGAATAGGGTGTTGTGAATTTTTTAATATTTTTAATGTATAATAAGAAACTGAATTTTTTACCATGACATCTTCATCTTAATAATGCACCTTTTTATTTTAAATAGAATAGGGTGTTGTTATAAACGAGGCGCGTTCTTAAAAAGAGGATTAAACTCCAGATCACAGATACGATAATCTGTTTCACAATAACACATGAAATAACTTGATCAAAAACCAAAAAAATCCTCCCTTTCATTAGAGGATTAGATGTTTGTTATTGCTTTATCCCTTTAATATTATAGGTGTTTTTTATTGCGTTAATTAATTTATTCGATGTTTACTTTCTATTTCTTTCAACAGAAGTATCTTCTTAAACCATCCATCGGAGGGGCAACAATAATAATACAAGCAAAGCAAAACATGGCCATATGGTGACATCTACTCTGCAATTAATGAATGCAAGATGAAGATGGACACGTGCTGCTGATCCCTCTCGAAGCACGTGCCCTGTCAGGTCTTTTTCTTTTTTCTTTGTTTAATTTTTTGTCAACTTGGATCCATTCCTCGTCCATCTCCTACGGGCAAATAAAAAGGTTTTTTATCAACTAATTCACATTTTTGTAATGATAAAATTAATAGTTTAGTACGCAGTTTGAATTAAGAATGCATAATGAAGATCGAAGAAATTTGTCACTCCATTCAGTTGCCACCTAGAAAGAAGAGAGTCAACAAAGATGTTACCCACTTCCAAATGGCAGTTTCCCAACAAATAACATCAGTTAGCCTTTCCCAATCACCATTTGTACCAATTTCTGTATTTTAATGGAATGATAGCTGTTGTAAATAATATTGATTTAGTTATTATTTAGTTTTTATTTAGTCATTTATTGTTGTATTGGGCCAAGCCCATTAGGTTAAACGTAGGTCAAATATTCTCTATAAATAGAGAACCCTTTGTACAGATTATTTACAATTCTATAATATATTAGAATACCCTTTTTCAAGTTGGTATCAGAGCTCTCGATCTGAGGGCTTTGCTTCCGCACATATTATCTTCTTTTTTAACAAAACCCTAATTTCTTTGCCTCTTGCCGCCATTAGCCGCCACCGGAAAATTTTTCCGGGGACCTTTTGGACCAAGGGGACCATTGTTGACCTTATTTTTCCTCCGATCTATCATTCTACGCAGTGTTCCTCCGCCACAAACGACCGAAACACCTCCGATCGCCTCCAATCAGATTTGTCTTCACCGTTTGGACCACTTTCCGGCGACTTTTCAACCGCGACCGCCCACAGACAGGTGTGCGCTCACCGGACGACCACACCAGAAAAATCTCAGCCGGCGAAGCCCATCCACGCGCTCTCACGCGCCGCCCCTTTCCCGGCGAGTGAATCCCACGCGCAGCTCCTTTCTCCGGCGCGTGGAGGCGCGTGCGGCCGTGTTTTTGGACCGGACCACCACCATTCTTCTCGTCTTCTTGTCTTCTGTCTGGATCTGTAATTATTTTTCTGATCAGAGGTCATTTGATATTCTGTTTGGTTGATTTTATCGCTGGTTGTTAACTTTTTTTGTTAAAGAATGGCTGAGCATGATAGTTCTTCAATCTTATCTGGTAAGAGCACACGTTCTATATCTCTTCTTGCTTCTTGCACTGATTTTAAAACCTCATGGATTTTGGATTCTGGTGCAACTGATCATATGGCTTGTCGTACTGAGTTATTTTGTTCTTATCATCCTACTATTGGTAGTCATACTATATCCGTAGCTGATGGATCCCATAAATCAGTTATTGGTTCTGGTAACATTCAAATTCAACCTTCCTTGTTTCTTAAAAATGTTCTTTATGTTCCTCAGCTTTCTACTAATCTTATCTCCACTCAAAAACTTACAACTGATTTGAATTGTTCTATCACATTTTTTCCTTCTCATTGTCTTATTCAGGATCTTACCACGAAGAAGACAATTGGAGTTGCTAATGAACAGGATGGGTTGTATCATCTCCTTCCAGACCATGCTAGCAAAAATCAGTTATTAATGACACGTCATCCTTCTACTGCAGAGTCTATGATTTGGCTCCATCACAAGCGTCTCGGGCATCCACCATTTAGTCTTTTGAAGTCTATGTTCCCCTCTCTGTTTCTCAATAAGTCGGTTGAGACCTTTCATTGTGATGTTTGTGAATTTGCAAAACACCACGAGTGTCATTTTCTTCTAGCACTATTAAAAGTAGAGAACCTTTTTCTCTTATCCATTCTGATGTCTGGGGCCCTTCTAAAGTGCACAGTGTTTCAGGTGCTAGGTGGTTTGTTTCTTTTATTGACGATTGTACTCGGATAACATGGATATACTTGATGAAAGACAAGTCTGAAGTACCAGAGATATTTATTCGGTTTCATCACATGGTTGAGACTCAGTTTGGTAAGGGTATTAAAAGACTCAGATCTGATAATGGTACTGAGTACGTCAATCAACGCCTGTCACAATTCATTTCAGACAGAGGTATGATTCATGAGCTCACATGTGTTGATACCCCTCAACAAAACGGGGTTGCTGAAAGGAAAAATCGTCACCTTCTTGAAGTTGCTAGAGCACTACTTTTTCAGACATCTGTTCCTAGTTCTTATTGGGGAGAAGCAGTATTAGCTGCAACTTTTTTGATCAACCGTTTACCTTCACGGGTCCTTAACAATATCAGTCCTATTCATTCCATGACTTCCTTCTTTCCTTCTGTTCCCATATTGCAGAGCCTTCCACCAAGAGTGTTTGGATGTGTTGCCTTTGTCCATGTTCATAAACAACATCGGAGTAAGTTGGATCCTAGGGCTCTTAAGTGTGTCTTCCTTGGTTATAACCCTTATAAAAAAGGGTACAAGTGTTATCATCCACCAAGTCGGAAATTTTTTGTTTCTATGGATGTCACCTTTCAAGAATCTGAATCTTATTTCCTGGGTCCTCATCGTCAGGGGGAGAATAGTTCTTCAGAAGACTCGTCCCCTTCCTTCTTTGAGTCTGGATCAATCTTCTCTCTTCCTAGTGTGTCTGCTCCTGGTGTGTCAGAACCTTCAAATACACCTGAGATACAACCCATACTGTCTCACCAGCAACCTCAATCGTCTGAACCACTGGTAAGTCCTGAATCTCCTATTTCTTCTGAATCTCCTGTTTCTGATTCTAATATTATTTCCTCTCATGATTTGTCTATTTCTTCTGATATCTCCAATGACTTACCCATTGCTTCTACTTCTGATGACTTACCTATTGCTCTTAGAAAAGGAAAAAGATCTTGTCACAAGAAAACTTGTTCCTTCTGTCCCTCTTGTACTCAATACCCTATCTCCCACTTTGTTTCCTCTGCTAATCTTTCTGTGCAGCACAAAAGCTTTGTTTCAGCACTAGATTCTATTGCAATCCCAAAATCAGTACATGAAGCCTTGAAAGATAGGAATTGGGCTCAAGCCATGCAAGAGGAGATGAATGCTTTGGAGAAAAATAAAACATGGGAGGTTATTGATAGACCCAACGGAAAGAAAGCAGTAGGGTGCAGATGGGTTTATACCCTGAAATATAATTCTGATGGCACTCTTGAGAGATATAAGGCTCGATTAGTGGCCAAAGGTTACACTCAAACCTATGGCATTGATTATGAAGAAACCTTTGCTCCAGTTG